ATGAGATAGTGAATCCCAGAATTTATTGGTTAATTTGATTAGCATGTCCTTGGCAATTACATTATTCTTGAGAGTCTGAAAATTATGGCGAAGCAGTTCTTTTTTAGTGATCACTTCCAATTTGCTCTCAGTCTTTTTGACACTTGCACTGGCCTCCCCCAGCTGCAGCCCCCACCCCATGTGTGTGACACCAAGCACAGGACTTTGTTTGACACACAACTCAGCTTCATAATATATCTGACACTAAAATGAATAAGGAGGTACTGAAATGTTTCCTATTTTAAAATATTTTGTCTTTCTTTCTGATATGGGGCATTTAACCCCCTGGGGTATTTAAGGCTTACTTTATAATAAAGGTTAAATCATAGGGACAGGTTCATACCTGTCAGGTTTATACAACATGGAAAAATAAACACAAATATGTAAAAAGTCTTACTGAAGAACAGGACTTCTTATTCAGTGTATGAAATCTTCTTGAAATTATTATCATCATTATTATTTTGGTACAGAGGATTAAACCCTGGGGCTCTTAACCAGTGAGACACGTCCCTAGTCCTTTTTTTTGTACCTAGGATTGAGCTCAGGGGCACTCCACCACTGAGCCACATCTCCAGACCTATTTTGTATTTTATTTAGAGATAGGATCTCCCTAAGTTGCTTAGCACCTCACTTTTGCTGATACTGGCTTTGAACTCTCGATCCACCTGTCTCAGCCTCCTGAACCACTGGGATTACAGGTGTGTGCAACCATGTCCAGCTCCTATTTCGTTTATCTATCTATCTCATATCTATCTATCCATCCATCCATCCATCCATACATACATACATACATACCAGGGATTGAACTCAAGGGCACTCAACCACTGAGTCACATCCCCAGCCCAATTGTTTTTTAATTTTTTATTTTTTTGTATTAGAGACAGGGTCTAACAGTTGCTTAGCACCTTGCTTTGCTGAGGTTGGCTTTGAAATCAGGATCCTCCTGCCTCTGCCTCGGGAGCTGCTGGGATTAAGAGGTGTGTGAAACTTTGCTTGGCTCTCAGTTATTTTTAACTGACATTACATAATAATTATACATATTAAGGGGTACAGTGTGGTAATTTGATACATATATAAATAATGAGTAATGCTCAAGTCAGGATAATTAGCATTTACATCTCCTTAAACATCATTTTGTTTTGTTTTGTTTTGGGAACCATCAACGTCCTCTCATCTATTCTAGTTCTTCATTGTTTGTTCTTTTTCTTTGTAAAATATATAATGAGGGTTGGGGTTGTAGCTCAGCGGTAGAGCACTCGCCTAGTATGTGCAAGGCGCTAGGTTCGATTCTCAGCACCACATAAAAATAAATAAACAAACAAATAAACAAATAAACATTGTGTCCAACTACAACTAATATATATTTTTTATATAATATATATCACATATAATTTTTGTATAATACATAATTTACATATAATATATTATATATAATATATGTAATATATATGTAAATTATATAAAATAGATATAATTTATAAAAATATGTAATTTTTGTAAGCTATAGTCACCTTGCTCTGCTATAGGACAAGAGAACTCCTTCCTCCTGACTGTATTTTGATACTGATTATACAACCTCCCTCTGTCCTTCCTTCTCCTACCCTTCCTACTCCTCTACTAATCAATCACTCTTCTAGTTTCTTCTTTTGGGAGATCAGCATATTTTAGCTTCCACATATGAATAAGATCATGCAGTATTAACCTGTCTATACATGACTTAGTTTTTACTATGGACACTCTTTGAGTCATATCTCCATCCTTTCTCATTTTTGATTTTTTTGAGACAGGGTCTCACAAGGTGCTGAGGCTGGCTTTGAGCTTGTGATCCTCCTGCCTTTGCCTCCGGAGGAGCTGGAATTACAGTCATATATCACTGTACCTGGTTTGGACAGTTTTAAAGTGATTCATTTTGGTTGAATTTTTTTAGAGCTTGACTTAATTACTAGAGAAAGAGCTAAAATAATAACAAAACTCTGGTTGCAGGATCTCTGAGGTCAGGAGACTCCATCTTTCTTTTAGAGCTATTATCGTATTGAAAAGCACTGTAACAGTTCCATGCGTATTTGTTGAATATGTGTATTTGTTAAATTTGCAAATGAGGTTTTAAATTCATTTTTTCTCAATAGGCTTCTCAATCTGCAGTTCATCTTATCATTTGATCTTCTTCTGATGGCCATTTTCTCTTTTCTTTTTCTTTTTTTTTTTGTACCAGCGATTGAACCCTGGGGCACTCCACCAATGAACCACATCTCCAAACCTATTTTGTTTTTTATTTAGAGACAGGATCTCCCTAAGTTGCTTAGCACCTCACTTTTGCTGAGACTGGCTTTGAACTCGCGATCCACCTGTCTCAGCCTCCTGAACCACATCACCAGCACTTTTTAAATATTTTATTTAGTGTTGCTAAGTTGCTAAGTCCCTCGCTAATCTGCTGAGGCTGGCTTTGAACTCTTGCTTCAGCCTTTCTCCTCATTACTCTTAACCCTAGATATCAGTCACTTTTGATGTAAGGAAAAGCAACTCAATTTAAATTTGTTGTGTTTCACTTATAAAGAATTGTTTAAAAAAAATTGAGAGCTGTAGGATGTATTGAAAGCATTTTGAAGAATTACATAGAGCCAGAGAGACAGATTACTGTGGACTAGGCACTGTGTTTGGATTTCAGTCTTTAGGTAAAATAGATTTATAGGACACCTGGAAAGTATAAGTCATGCTGTGGGGACCAGAAGAAAGGGCATATAGCCAGCTTTACCTAGAATGACCACTGTTGGTCTACAGTAACCCTAGATCAAGTACTTGAACGATGAATTGCCCAGGCAGTCTGGGAAAAGAGAAGGAAATCTCAGTAATTTTGTGTGATGGTCTATGAGAAGCGAGAGTGTCCTCTAGGGGAATTGGGTGAGTAGAGATTAAAAGCAGATGTGGAAGAAGAGAAGGGCAGGCATTGTACATGTGACTAGAGGTAGTGACGCGCCACACTTTGGGAATGAGGCACACAGAAAGGATGAATATTAGGGACATGTGTGGTGATGGAGCTGCAGGTGTTGGTGAAGTAAAAGAGCAAGAAGGCAGAAGGGGAGGAGTATATTGAAGTGATCTAGTGAAATGGGATAGAGTTCTCAGATAGGTGGGGAAAAGACAAATCTGGCTTTGAAGAGACTTGTGTGACCTTGGGCAGGCACTGTATTGGTCAAAGGGCCCTATTCTTTGATCTTTTTCATCCCCTTTCTGTTGTCATTCCTGGGCCATATCAGCCACACATCTCTCACATGTGTGATTAGCCAGACATGATCTCACCTCCACTCCCATTTATTTGGCAGCATAAAGTCCTCTACCTCTAACTACCATACTGCTACCTTAGGGAGCCTCATGTATGAAAACCTTGAAAGTCACCCTTCCTGTACTGAATTTCTTCCTTCAGCATTCTCTGTATGCCTCCTACAGACTACTCTCACATACAACCATTTATGGTCATATGTTTACGTGGCTTTAACTCTTAAATAAAGAGCTCTTTGAGCCCAAAGATCTAGGCATCTTTTTTGGTATGTTAAGGTAGTAGGGCTTCAGACATTTCTATGTGCTTAATGTTTGGGGAAGGGAGGGAGGAAGGAAATGAGAGGTTGGGATTGAGGAAAGGAAGGCCTTTGAGAATAAACACTCATATGCTTTTCACTTGAACTCTGAAGGTCCCACAGGGTGGTAATAGAAGCTGGAGGAGGAGGACCTTTGGGGGAACCTATGGTGAGTGAGGAAGATGATGGTGAGTTGGCAACACAGGAAGAATCAGAAGAATGAGTCAAGCTTCCTAAAAGAAGTTGACTGGTAGAGGGGATTTTAATGACACTTGCAAAGGGATTTCAGAGACAACCTCACAATGGATTGAGGGAATACTTGGTTAAATCAAGTTCTGCTGAAAGAAACCTAACCTTGGTAAAATGGCTTCAATGAGAAAAATAGCTTAAGGAGAGTTGACTCCAAATCTCTCCCTTAGATACTCCTTAAATCAAGACTAATGGAGAGATCCTCAGGCACATGACCACCACCACCACCAACAGCATATATGAAGTGCCTGCTTTGTCTGATTCGTTCTCCAAAGAACCCTGTGAAGTCTGTGGCCCCATCTGCCTCAAGATGAAGAAAGGCAGGCTTAGAGTGGTTAAGAAGCATTCCCAGCCCTCATCTTTCTCCTCTTATGTAGGCCACTTATGCCAGCCAACTTGCTAGAACTGACCAACATGCTAGAACCAGTCTGGTGCTCTAGGAACATCACAACTGCTTTTTGGGGTGGGCTGGGGGAGGTTACCGGAGATTGAACTCAGGGGCACTCGACCACTGAGCCACATTCCCCAGCCTTATTTTGTATTTGCCATTTCTGAGGCTGGCTTTGAACTCATGATCCTCCTGCTTCAGCCTCCAGAGCCTCTGGGATTCCAGGCATGTGCCACCATGCCTGGTACACAAGTGCTTTTTGAGAGTCTGAAACATTGTTGATTCCCTAGTGACTTGCTGCCCACTGCCACTTGCTCAAGAATCAGAAGTTCCTCTAAAACCATCCTGCCATGTGGGAATCTGATAGGTGTCCTGCTGCGTTGTGGCAGTGGGAAAATGAGTTAATGATGAAAAGAGGATAAACTGTATGAAATAATAAATAGATAAAATGGGGGCAAATATAGTATGAAAGGATGGTGGGAGAGAGAAAAATTATGCCTTCTGTTTAGGAAGCATAATGACACCCAAAATATCCTGAGAATGAATTTCAGTTTTCTAGACAACATATGCACCTTTTTTTTTTTTAATTTGTTTGTCAATGGACCTTCATTTTATTTGTGTGCCATGCTGAGAGTCGAACGCAGTGCCTCACACATGCTAGGCAAGCACTCTACCACTGAGCCACAACCCTAGCTCCCAACATATGCACTGTTAGCCTAGGCCCATATGTTATGATGAAGTAGAGGATGATGTGGATAATATTTATCTTGTTTATTGGCAAAACATAAAACTATGGGGACCATTCAATAGGGTCAAAATTTTAAAAATCTGGGGTTATAGGTTGTAGCGATTCAAGGGATTCTTGAGGTTTGATTTTCTTCCCTCTAAGGAAATATCTTTTCTTTGGCTCCAGCAGACTGGGGCTCTTGGTTGACCTTTCAGGGTGCTTTCTCCCAGGTAGGGAAGAGAAGAGCCGTGTCCTGAGCCAGTGAAAGATGGACCGGAAGTTCAGACAGGATGTGGTTTCTGTGATGGAAGATGTGTCAGTCTCCTTTGGCTGCCCTGCTGAGACTGAGGGAGTCTCTGCAGTGCCATACACCTCGCTTATCATCTGTCAAGAGAACACACATGAGTTAGATACATGTAACCAGCAGCAGTGGAGTCAATATTTACTCATTTATGGAAATCTAATTTTTTAAATGAAGACAATGCCAACTGTAAATGCAGTTTTCAGTACTCCTTAATAATTAAACACACACAGTTTTTTTGTTTGTTTCATAAATATCAGCCCTTCTCTTTCTTCCTTTCTTCTCATCTCCCTCAGTGCTCCTTGGCATTTCCCTTACATATCCTCCCCAGCTCCTTCCTTGTTACTCTTCTCTCATTCTTCATCTCCTTAGACACTGGGGTCACAACTGCTTCCTAGCAGGTAGAATGACTCCATGCTGTCCAACCTGGTACCCCCACTGGGTCTATCACTTGCTCTGCTGCTCTCTGCTCACTTCAATAAGTTCAACTTTCTCAAGCCTGGGTAGCATTTCTAGAAATTGATTGACATTTTCATTTTCTGATGGTTTACCCTCAGGCAAGGCCTGACAAGTTTAATATTCTTATTGACTGACCTGATACATATTGAGAGGGAAGTAGCTGGAAGGTTGGAGATCTTCCTCCTGAGTAGATTGAGAGAGCACAGAGTCATCATCTGTATCTTCTTTCTGATTTTCTAGAAATGCCTTAAGCTTTTGCATTAGATTGTCCAGTTTGCAGAGAGTCAGTTTTGTCTTCTCCTGTGGCCACTTTCCTATCCACTGGTTGTCTCCATTTAGATCTAAATTAGATAGTGAGTCTTGATGATCAGAGCCCATATCAACATCCCAGGCCAGTGAGATGGTTAGTTTGGAAAATATCTCTGGGTTGTCCTGAATTTGATCTCTTATCCCAATAGACCTCCTTAAACTTTTGATCCCCCATGTCCCTTGGATGGGAGGGAGAAAGTGGCAGGAAAAACCTTCGGAAGTCAAGTCTTCACAGGAGGTTGTGTCTTCATAGGCAATGCTGTCCTCATAGGGGAAATAGCCTACAGAGAGGCTCAGGTTGGATTCAGATTCAGAAATGCAGTCCTCTTCATCAGTGCAGTTGCTATTGGAGGATGAGTCTTCCATGGAGGCCAAGGGGTCAAACAGATCTCCCAGAACTCAGAGAACTTCAAAAGAAAAACACTTTAGATGATACTGGAAAATACTTTAGCAACAATTCCCATTGATTTTTCCATTTAGAACTATCCCACAGGCAAAAGAACATCCTTTGTTTGCACTCTTCAGTCAAGGGCAATTTTAAAGCTTTTCTTTTGAAACATATTTTATTGTAAACTAGCGCTTTGTACTAAACATCTCTATCAGCTACATCTCATCCTTTGTCTTCCTGAGATGGAAAGAACTGCCTGTCATGCTGGGCATGGTGACGTACACCTGTGATCCTAGCTGCTTGGGAGGCTGATGCTGGAGGATTGAAAATTTAAAGCCAGCCTGAGCAACTGAGACACTGAGCCTGTCTCAAAATTAAAAATAGAAAAAAGGTCCAGGGATGTGGCTGAATGCCCCTGGGTTCCAAAACCAATCAACAAACCAAACAAACAGGTAGTTTCTTTTTGTTGTTGTTTTCCTATCATGTAGTTGTATAAAATTTGAAAAATACAGAAAAGTGGGAGGATGTAAACTACCATCCTTAGTTACAATAACCTTCAGTAAAAGAGTTTTATGGTTTTCCTTATCACTTTTCCTTTTCTCTCAATGTACATAAATGTATATTGCATATATATTCATACATATATTTATAGATGACACATCAAGATAAACTGAGATTAAATTTTGTGTCATAGCTTGTAAGAAATACATTCGTGCCTATTCTGTAATTCTTAACTAGTTTCTCATTAGTGAGTCTTAGATAATTAACTATTAATGATCATTAGGTTAGGTGATCAATGACCCTTATATTATTAAGACTATTAACAGTAGTCTTATTCATGACAGTAAATCCTCTCATTCATAAATATCTCTTTCTTTATAGTCCTAATGGTTGGATCATTGGACCAAAGATCACAAACACATTAAATTCTTATGGTAGTTGATACTAAATTACTTTCCAGAAAGAGTATAACTATTTCAATACCCATCTTCCCATCATCTGATGGTATCTTTAGTCCAGCATTTTTCATGATGCCCCAGCAAATAAGTGTGGAAGAGAATACATACATGTTGCAGACTCTGATACGACCACCTTTGATAGCCACCCCCACAAAAAAGATGCTGCCAACTCCTTAGTCATAAACAATATATGAGAAGTCCTTCAGATCCCTCGTTGTGGTGGCTAAAATGTCCAACTGTCAGAAGTTTGTGTTCTGAGACTGTTGGCTACCGTGGCAACAGAAGAACCAAATTAGAGCCATTAAGTGTGGAAGGAGAAAAAGGGAATAAAAAAGCTAAGTACCCATCCACTTTTAGTCAGTTTTTGTGTTGCTATGACCAAAATACACAACAATAACAAGAACAACATAGAAGAGAAAAAGCTTTTTGGGCCTCACGTTTTCAGAGGTCTCAGTTCACTGGCCAACTACATTGCTGGGTACTCACAGCGAGACAGCACATTATAGTGGGGGAAAAGCCTATGGTAGGAAAGCTGCTCAAGTGGTGGCAGAGAGAGAGACAGAAAGGGGCTGTCGGAAGAGCAACTTTCCAGGCCGTGCCCCCGTTCACCTATTTCCTCCAGTCTTGTCCCACCTGACTACAGTTCCCATTCAGTTAGTCTATTCAAATCAGCATGGACTGATTAGGTTACAGCTCTCATAATCGACTTCTTTCACCTCTGAATATTCTTACATTAATAGGAGTTTCTGAAAGAAATCTAGTTCCCAAACCATAACATTCTGATCCTAGCCTCCTGTAGCTCATTTCCAGTCTCACAATGCAAAGTGCTTTTAGATCCTATAGTCTCAACAGCTCTGGCATGGCCCTAAAGTCCAATTCAAGTCCAAAGGCTTTTCTGAGACTCAAGGCAAAGTTTTGGCTATAAGCCCCTGTAAAAGTAAAAAACCCAAGTTTTATATATCATTAGAGTGGCCCATACTAAACATTCGAGAAGGAAGGATGAGGAACCCCAAAAGAAGGTTTAGGGCCAAAACAAGACTGAAAACTTATTGGGCAAAAAAGATTCTCTAGCTCAGCATATAGCATCTAGGACACATGGCTGGGAGACATTGTTTCCAAATGACTTCCACAGATCTGCCCCTTCAGCCTTGCTGGTTGCAGGACACATAGGTATTTTTTAGCTGTAGCCCTCAGGTTTTCTTGTTCACAGTCCATGTTAGTGGCATCTCTTGATTCATGTAATCTCTTAGTTCCTGGAATGTCCATTCAAAATTTGGCTTCACCTTTACAGCTGTATAAGTTGAACTCTCAGGGACAGCCTGAGGGATAGGACCTGCCCCTCTTTTCCTGTTCTCCCATGCCTTCCGAAATCTTGGTGGAAGCATCCATTACCATATCTTGAGACTCCTGTATCAGTAGAACCAGCACCATGTGGATGATGCCAAGGTCTGCCTCCAGCTCATGCAATGCCTAGGGCCCCTGGGATGACAACTACAGTGGCCGGAGTGCATGTTTGGCTCTAACATGGTGAAATGACTTCCTAAACCCCTACCGTGTAAGCAGGTTCCCCATGATGTATTCTGAAAAGTGTTTCAACTTTTATAACCCTACATTCTGTAGGGGATTTAGTTCCTGAAATGCCATCCAGGTATCTCTTTTATCTTCTGTGTGCACAGTAGTTAGCATCTCTTTAAGGGATGTTATCTCTTAAACAATCACACCTCTTTCATCCCAGCTTTACTTGCACTTTTGTGGCCAAATGCCAGTTTTTAAACTCCTTTAGTTGTGCTTCTATTCCTGATTCTTACGGTAATCCTGGTTAAAAGCTTCCTGCAATATCCATGCCACCAACCAAATGTTGTGGTGCCTTGAAATTTCCTCTGCCAGATTAATTAGTTCATTATTTTTAAATTTAGCATCACACAATTCTTAGGACATGGGTAAAATATAGCCAAGCTCTTTGCCTGAATATAACAAGAATGACCCTAGTACAATTGTGAGTCAAGTTCTCATTTGTCTCTGAAATCTCATGAGCACGTCCTCATTCTTATTTGCTTTCTGGTATACTGAACTAGTCTCACTTATTAGACTCCATTCACAACCTTCTAAGGATTGCATCTCTAGCCTTGTTAGAATTGCTTCTGCAATCCATTTCCAAAGGATTTTGAACCACATGGTCAGGATAGTCATAGCAATAACCTCACTTCTCGGTATCCATTTCTATTTCAGTCACCTGTTGCATTTCTGTGACCAAAATACCCAAGAAGAACAACTTAGAGAAGGGAACGTTTATTTGTGGTTTAAGGGTTCACAGGTCTCAGTGCATAGATGATAGACTCATAACTCTGGGCTCAAAGCAAGGCAGCATATCATGTGGGAAGGGCCAGTGGCAGAGAGTTACTCAGCTGATGGTGGTGTCAGGAATCAGAGAGTAGGAAGGGACTACAGAAAACGCAACCCTTGCCAGGCAAGTCACAAGAAAACCATGTCACCCACCCTTGTACCAATTGCCAAGAGTTACCACTCAGTTACTCCATTCAAAGTAGAGTGGATTAATAAGGTTGTACTCTCATTCTCTAATCTATTAACTACTTAATTCCCTTGCATTAACAGGAGCTTTTAGAAGTCATCTCATATGCAAACAATAACACTTTTCCTTCCAAATATTTTGTACACATACTGTGAAGGGCTGAAGAGGGTCCCTCTCTAAGAGATAGGAGGAATGTGTGGGTGTATCACTTCCTTCCGGAAATGTGCTTTTCTAAGATGGCTCCTCTAACGAATTGAGAGCCTGTTTGGTGAAATGGATAGCAAAAGCCTATTATAAAACAGGGTAGTATATTTGACAAAAAATGTAAAAGTAATTTCAGGCAAAAATGAGGTTATATCATATAGCCTTGTTGGGAATGTGATAGGAGTACCAGAAAGGCATCCAAGGGCAGATGGTTTCTGACCCAAGAATTTCTGCCATTATGTAAGTTACTGAGGTGAAACAGAGGTAGGGATGTGGGGAGAGGCCACAGGTCAAGCAAGGGTGAGAAGATGAGAAACAACCTCCTGTATGCGGAAATGATGTGCAGTGTGGTATGTAGGTGGGTGTCAGTGAGGAAATGAAGGCCTTCCCCCACTGCCAAGCGGCCTGGATTTTGTTCTCTCAGTCTGTAAGGATTGTGGTATTCAGTTATCATGTACCTTCCTGAGGTACTCAAGATATATTGGAGGGTTGGACATGCTTTAAAAGACAACTTCCATCGGTTTGACTGTCTGCACATCCATGGTTGACCTAGTGGAAGTAGAAAGAAAGGATTTTTAGGGCAGGAGCCAGGCTGCAGGGGCTTGAAGGACCAATGGAGGAAAGCAAGTGGCAATAGTAAATGAGGAATGTCAGGGTGAGAGAGAGGGGAGGAGGAAGCTTTAGTGAATGAGTGTCCCTACTTCCTCCCCCAAATGAAGGAGAGTTTAGGAATCAATAGAGAGGGAAGAAGTTCCAAATGGGATGCCGAGCTTGCCCTGTGGAGGTGACTATAATGGCCAGCATGGGAAGGTGTGTTGTAGTCAGAGAAGCATATCATCCCTTCATGTCAGAGGGAAGAAAGTGACAGTAGGTGTGAAATGCTTGGAGGGGTGCACAGTGGAGGGATCCTGCTCCTTCAGATATATCCAAGTAGGGCTTCTGTCATATTCCTAAAGTCAAAGTCATGTGTGTTTATACCATTTATGTCCACCTATTCTCTGTGTTAGACGTCCTTGTTCCCTTGTGCCCACATGCTATGTGTTTTGACAGCAGCTTCAGTACCGTGAGGTGTTCTAGTCCTTGTAGAAGCAGAGTTTTTCTTTTACTGGGGCACACCAAGGCTGTCCGCCCTCTTCTCTGGAATGCATTCATGCACATTGATAGAGCATACGTAGATGGGATGTAATTTCTCATTTTTCTGGGTGTACATGTTGCAGAATCATATTGGTCATGCAGTCACATATACATACAGTAATAATGTCTGTCTCATTCTACTATCTTTCCTTTCCTCACATCCGCTCCCCTTCCCTCCCATCACTTCCCTCTACCTAATCTAAGGGAACGCTATGTTTTCCCAGTGGGCCCACACCCCCTGCCTTGTTGTGAATTAGTAGCCACATATTATAGAAAAGATTTGGCCTTTAGTTTTGTGGGATTGGCTCATTTTGCTTAATATGATATTCTCCAACTATAACCATTTACTGGCAAATGCCATAATTTTACTCTTCTTTCAAGGC